GGGTCCAAGTGTGAATTCTTGAAGAAGTCTGTGACATATCTTGGCCATGTAATCTCTGAACATGGAATTGCTACAGATCCTGAAAAGATTAGTGCTATTATTAATTGGCCAATTCCTACCAATATTTCTCAACTTCGCTCTTTTCTCGGAACTGCAGGATTCTATCGCAGATTCATCAGGAATTATTCTAAAATTGCCCATCCTTTGAATAAGTTACTTGATGGCCATGGTACAACCAAATCTAAATCAAAGATTAAAGGTAAAAAGAGTAAGTCACCAGTTCCTTGGACATGGAGTGTTGATCAACAATCAGCATTTGATACTCTTAAAAATAAGCTCTCTTCACCTCCTGTCTTAGCTTTTGCAGACTTTTCCAAACCTTTCATAGTTCATATAGATGCATGTTCTACTGGTCTAGGTGCAGTTTTGCTTCAGCAGCAAGATGACAACTCAGAGCGTGTCATAGCTTACGCTAGTCGTGGTTTGAGACCCAGTGAACGGAACTATCCAGCCCACAAGCTTGAGTTCCTGGCTCTTAAATGGGCTGTAACAGACAAGTACCATGATTATCTATATGGCAACAAATTTACAGTCATGACAGACAACAATCCCCTCACTTATGTAATGAGTACAGCAAAACTTGATGCGACAGGCCACAGATGGGTCGCTGCTCTATCTTCATATGATTTTGACTTAATTTATAAATCAGGTCATTTAAATGGTGACTGTGATGGTTTAAGTCGCAAACCTCATATGTTTGCTGATAGCATTAAAGCCCTCTGTCTTGGTGCTGTTGTTTCTTCTTTAACTGCAGAGTGTTTGTCAGGTTCAGAAGCCCCAAGTTTTGATGATTTTACTATGCCTCCTCATTCCACTGTTAGAACATCTGAACCTGTAAATTGGGCCTTCGAGCAATCTAAAGACCCCAATATTTCAAAAGTTATTTCTATTTTGCAGTACGGTTCTCACCAAAGGGGGGAGAATATACCCAAAATGGTCAAATCTTTACTTCGTGATATGTCTCGTTTGATTATTGAGAATGGTGTTCTCTACCGTACTGCAACAGTAGATGGTGAGCCAGTCAGACAATTGATTTTGCCTGCTTCTCATCAGACCATTGCCTTTCAAGGTGTCCATGACCAGGTTGGCCATCCAGGGCATGAGAAATCTCTCTGGCTTGCTCGACAGCGTTTCTATTGGCCAGGGATGGAAGCTGATTTTAAGAGAATGATTAGTTTATGCAAGTCTTGTGTCTGTGGGAAAACTCCTCAAAGGCCAGCGGCAGAGCTCGTACCCATTCAAACTTCAAGGCCAATGCAACTTGTTTGCATTGACTTTCTGAAGTTAGAGAAGTCCAAAGGTGGGTACGAGGATGTCTTAGTCATAACAGATCATTTTACTCGTTATGCTAAGGCTATCCCCTGCCGAAACCAGAAAGCCACTACCACGGCGCGAGCCTTGTTTGAGCATTTCATCATTCATTATTCCTTCCCAGAGCAATTACATTCGGACCAGGGTCGTAATTTCGAGAGCAAGGTGATAAAAGAACTCTGTAAGATAGCCAATGTCAGGAAAACAAGGACAACACCATTTCACCCAATGGGTAATCCCTCTGCAGAGCGCTTCAATAGAACCCTAATTCGCATGCTACGTACCCTGGCAGATGACCACAGAACAAGTTGGGCTGATTATGTTCTTCCTCTCTGCCAAGCATACAATGCTACTAAGAACTCCTCAACTGGATTCTCACCCCACTTCTTAATGTTTGGTTGGCACCCACGCCTCTCAGTAGACGCATATTTAGGCACAGCTCCTGGGAATGAGTCTGGCGTAAGCCATGCCTCATATGTTTCTAGAATCCAAGACCGTCTGAGATATGCCTACAGAGTTGCAGGTGAAGCAGCTAAGCAAAGAGCCGAGCAGAACAAGAGGCAATATGACAAACGGGTACTTGAAAACAAGATCTCTGTTGGTGATATTGTTCTTGTCCGCAAAGTTAATTTGCAGGGAAGACAGAAACTTGCTGCCAAATGGGAGAAAGATCCTTATATTGTTATAGAAATCCCTTATGAAGGCCAGCCAGTATATAAAGTCCAACTGGAAACTCGCAAAGGACCGATTCGCACCCTCCATCGCAATTTACTACTGCCTTTTGTCTCAATACCTGAACCTGAAGAACCTCTTCCTCCTAAAACTGGCCGCAAGACCAGAACTAGGCAAACTATTGCTAATGAACGAGAGTATGATGGTGATACTAGTTCTTCTGAATCAAGCTCATCTCCAGGAATTTATATAATTCCACAGAGAAGACAATCTCATCCAAGTCCAAGCTCTATTACAGAAGTAAATCCATCTACCCCATCTCATCAGTCCACTCCTATACCTGTTGTTACACCTAGTAGCACTCCAATCCAGACTCCTTCTCCAGTACCAGTACCCAGGCCTAGGAGAACAAAACGTCCACCTGATCGTTTTGGAGAATGGGTAACATCCCAGACTGTCCAGAATGTTTATTATGTTTAATGTACTTTTAGGTCCATAAAACCTAAATAAATTTAGTTGTCCGGCACCTTTGCTTATTAAACATTGTGTTGTTTTAAACTTAAAACCCAGACTATTATTTTAATGCGCTATGGATAGATAATTATTTTTTGTCTACGCAAATTCAGATTGATTGAATAATTGCAAAATATTTCAATCATTTTCCTTTTTTGTTGCGTATTTGTTTATTTGTCAGAATTTCACTTCTGATTTCTTGTATTTTCCCATTTATATGGATTGATAAATATTATCCTAGTTCACTTTCACCTTCATAGGTTTTTGAAAAGTGATAATATAACATTGATAAATAATTTTATTTTTACTGTTGGAAAATTATTCATTTCAACAAATAGATACTAATCTATTAATCAATTATTTTATTTTTAATTTTAAATAAAAGTTTCATTCAACATTTCTAAACTAATTCAATCACTTAAAAAAATAAATAAATAAAGTTTTCTTTGAAATAAATTTTATTTTGTGTTTGTGTGCAAACTATAGGCTCTTATTCATGCATAGCCATTTCACCTGAACTTCATTTTATTCCATGTTAACTTAAATTTCATTTCATTTAACATTCACTGATCATTTCCATAGACAATCAAAAGAAATTATTTTATATCAATACAAGGGAAACAACTCAAATAACCAATTGACAATTTATATCTATTGTTATCTCCCTTGATCTTAACATCTCCATTATACATTAACATTGATATAAGTTAATGTGTGATTATTTTATTTTCATCATTAAGGAAATGTCGGTGCCATTTAAATCTAGTGGGGGAGTGTGTAGATAAGGTCAATTTACTGCTTATCTATTTACTCATCCTATATTTACAAACAAAGTTGTAATCACTCTAGTGAATAACTAACTGTACATTTTCATTCATTCATGCATAATCACATGACATCATTTTCATTCATCATTATAAGAATTATGGGTAATGTCTTGTTCTTGTTGTGAGTTACTTTGCTCAGTGAACTGTCTCCTGTTATGTTCTTGTTATGTCCTGTGTTGTTAAGTGATGTCCAATAAATATCTTGTATATTTGTTAAGTAAGAATGTGATTGGATGAGAGTGATTTCATATCATTTTTATGCACGGGCAATTTACATTCCTTTTCTAAGAAATCATTTCCATACTTTGCATTGTAAGGTGAACATCAGTAGTTCTTTATAGAACATTTTGAATATAATATTTGTATAAGTCAACTTTACGTTTGTTCTTTATAGAACGGATTCGATATTTACTATTTTATATAACAGAGGTCAGCCAGTTGCACCTGGTAAGATATGTTTTACTTAAAATTACTTAAAATAAATGTAATGAAATGTATGAATTAAATAATTGAAAATAATTGACATTGTTTAAAATATGAAATGTTGAAATGATATCGATATAGAATTTGTATTTTAATTTGTGTTTTGTATTTCATGTATTTATAATTGTTTATTCATTTTGTAGGTTTTCACTTACACATCATCAAAATAAATATTGAACACCAGTCAGAGTTGGTCATGTTTCAATCCAAACCATACTCTACATAAGTGAATAAATGTATCATATGGATCTACATAACAGTTCTGCAAATTTAGTGCTAGCTGCTAGGCCATGGGTAGTAGAATTTTGATTAGGCCCATAAAATCTTTGGCCTGTGAAAAATTAGCACTTGAGTGTCTTTGAAAATGAAATGCAGGGATTTTCTCCAGGATTTTGGGAACATGACTCATACCCATGGAATTGGGAATTTCAGCGGTATTTTGTTAAAAATTGGGCAAAAATGCATGACTGAAATTTTACAGTGATTAAAGGGATGCAAACAATAACTGTCTATGATAGCATCTTCAAACATTTAAGCACTATTACACTGAAGAAGCCCTTATTTTCAAAGATTTTATAATTTTTATTCAATACTTTTATTTTGTAACTTTCAATTGGGAAATTTGTTCCTATGTATTGGGAAAATACTATACTATTTTCAATTGGGAATATGACCCAATATGAATAATGGCTATAAAATAAGCCAAACAAAAATCCCTGAAATGATTGAATTTTAAATGAAAACACTTATTGATTCTCAATACAGGTGAGAGACTTACAAGTTAACTGTGCAAGATGTTATTCTTGGTTTTACTTTCTACTTACCTTAGGTGAAACATTTTTGGGCTTGAAAAAAACAAACTTTATTTGGCTAGTAGATATTGCAAACCACAAGCTGGAATGGCTTCTGGTTTTCTGGTCCTAATTCTTTTGGCTACATAATAGGCAAAGGGAACAAAATATCTACAGTTCTACACATTAAGTATTAATATTTCCGACGTGATGATTCTCAATAACACTGCAAAATATTGGAGTCCATGATGTCATTATGGGTTCCCTATGAAACCGCGTGAGAAGTTAGACTTACATCCTACATGAAATAAGATCAAGCGAGCAGCATACCATACAGCAAGGTGCTCTTATGCCACGCCCACAAGTCCCAACCATTGCACCTACAGCAGCTACAGCAGCTACAGAGGGTAAACTCTGTACTTGATTTTTTTCATTTTTTTTTCATATTAATGAAATCATGTACACCAGATTATATTAATATATTATAAGTATGAAAGTCTGATTTATCTGGCATTATATTATATTCTTGCCTAGTGATTCTTATCCTTGTACCTTAACAACTTACAAACTATTAAAGGCCTCTTTCCAATTTAAATTTTCTTTAAAATCATGTAGTTTTCTCAAAAATCTTAACTTATACCAGCTTTGTTTTACTTTTCAAATTAGGAGTTTTAGTGTTTATGTTTCCCAAAATCAAGAAAATAAGGCCTCTTCCCTTATTAAGTGAGAATAACCTCTGCAGCCAGAATTTGTGAAATGGATTTAGCCAGTTAAAATTTGGAACTGTAAAAGATATTAATATAAGAATAAATTTTAATATAAGAATGTTAAAAATGCTAAAATTTTGTAATTAAAATAGATGCATAAAAAGTATCTTTAGATAACATACAATGTAATATTATCTTCCTTTGCTTTTTGCTTATAAATAAATGTCTAATAAAGAACCATAATATAATGTATTTCTTTTCATGTATATTGTATATACTTTTGCTTTTTATGTTTTAAGCTCCAAATGTTGAGGCAAGCAATGTATGCTTGCCTAACCCATGCAAGAATGGTGGCATATGTGGTGCAAACTCTAAAGGGGAGTACCTTTGTGCATGTACACTTGGTTACAGAGGGAAATTTTGCCAAGAAGGTTTTTAATAATTTTTCTTTATTTGTAGTTGACAAATATTCTTGACTCCCTTTTATAGCTAGCTCAACTGCTGTCTTAGTTTAGATTATTGTAACACTGCTAAGTTTTAGATACATGATGTGTAATGCTATCAATAGAAATACTGTATGTAATCAGTTTTAGATACATAATGTATGATTCCCTGTAGTTCTGCATAGTTTTATACATAATGTATATTACCTATAAATAGAAATACTGTATAATACCCTGTATGTAGCACTGCTTAGTTTAAAATATGTAATGTATAATACAATCTATTAGATGTATAATGTATAATAGATAATATGTTATCAACAGAAATAAATGTTTTTGTTTCGATTTTCATTCATAAACATAAATTTACAAAATACAAAGCAGAAAATTTGGTCAGACAACCCCTTGAGCAGTATTTTTGATATGTACTTAAATAAATAGTATGTTATCAAAACAGCAATTGAATACCAGGTACAGTATATCACTTTGATATACCAGTTTATATGGTATCTTTTGGCTATAAGCAATCATGTAAATGTTACAAAAAAATGAAAAAGCAGAATATGTACAGGTATAAAATGTATTATTATTAACTGTATTTCAGCGATGATGGACTGTTATCAGATAGGTTGTCAGTTAATCAAGGACTGTCTGTCATCACCTAATGGTGCTGTGTGTATGTGTAAGGTAAAGGGCATGTCACGCCTTTGCCAGATGTCTATTCACAGTCCTTCAGCTTGGGGTATGCTTCATTTCTTGGGCAAATAAAAGTGTTTTTGTTTGATTTTTCTTTTACATATAGATTATAATATCATTTAAAAGTGATTTGTTTCTTTTAAGCATATTATAATATATGTGTGCTTAGCACGTTGTAAAATACAAAATAAGATTAAGGTTCATATTATACTAGCATTGACTTATTAAAGTGAACTGGTCAATAATGGAAGGTCCTTAATGCCATAGATAATTATGTTGATATTATTGAGTACCATATGTGATAACTTAATACAAAGAAATTACATGTATATAATATGGATGTTGTTGGTACATTGTAAGTATTGGATGCATGTCCCGATAGGACATATCTTTATATAGCAGATAATAAATCGTTCTAGAACAAAATATCATTATTCATAATATAATTGGTTCTCTATTAAACAAAAGAAAATAATAATAGAAATGGCTCTTTATCCTCGGTCGCATGTTTGTCCATTTGTCAGCATGTCACAAAACTTGTACAGACTATTCCTCAGAAACAACTGGAGCAATTTCATCCAAACTTTACAGGAATGATCAGTACCAAATCTAGTTTTGCATATTATGGGCATTTTCTTATTCCATGATTTTTATCAGAGTTCTGGCCCTTTAATGATTTTTTAAAGTTTTGTTCACACTACTACTCTTATACTACTAATGCAAATTCAATGAAACTACAGGATTGATTGATACCTCAAGTACTTGCGCATATTAAATGGGTTTTTTGATAAAATGATTTTTGGCAGAGTTATGATCCTTTAATAAAAAACACATTTTGGCCTGTTAATGATTTTTGTGTCTCTTGCTACACAGTAGCTGCAACATGCAATTGCTTGTCATCAGGCGACGCAGTCATGTGATCACTGACGGCTTGTTAACTGTAGAGTTTATGAAAAGATGTCTGACTTCAATACAGACATTTTCTGTTTCATGAGTATTATATAAGTAAATTATTGTTTATATGAAATAACCATTATTTTTCCATATTCACAAAAACAAAAATTTCTATTTAGTACATGATATTCAGTGAAATCAGCAATTTACACAGTTTCACGCTTAGTGAGTGATATAGAAAATATCTTACTGATAAAATTTTCTGTTTTTCATTGATAGGCATGAAGTAAAATAACTTTTTATATCATTACAGACAAGGTACGACTAATAGTTTCCGAGGAGACAATACATACTGGTGAAATTATTGTTGGCGTCATGTTTGGAATATTGGCCATATTTGCCTTATTTTTTGGTATACATTGTTATAGGGTTAATGCCAGAAGGTACGCAATTTGCTTTCTTGTTAATAAATGCCTTGGTCTTCATTATTTCATTTCTGTTTATTTCATGATTTTTTAACGATTTTTACACCATTTTACTAATTTTTGCCGCGTAACGTCATGCTCTTATCTTCATGACGTCATCAAATAATGACGTCACAATGTTGAAGCAAAATATAATTCCATGATTATTTTTAGATTTTAGATGTTTTTCAGCATAACGTTCGTAAATATTTACGAACTACAGTTATCACGTACATTTTTTATTATGATTGACTACATTTCCGCTGAAAAAACATTCATTAATGATAAATATTTTATTTTTACGCCAAATATAGTTCGGCTACTGTGAAATTATATTTGGTAATCATTACTGTGAAATTATCAGAATATAATTAACCGTTATAATTCAGTAATCTACTGCAAAACATGTAATAAATATAGATTAATGATGCTAACAACTCAATATTTAAAAAACAATAGTATAGATTTTTATTTTAAATGATATTTTTTGTAAGTGACTCGACAGCTATTGATTTTACTTTTAAAAGCTGTCTTCATCTATTTTTTTATCTGATTTACTTTGCTGATACTGATAAGATTGCAGCATTCCCTTAAAAGGATACTCAGGAAAAATAATGAAAAAAATATTAAAGTGATCTTATGTACTCCAATCACTCTCAAATTACATTTCTTAAATTCCCAGCATGAATTTCTGTATAAATTCTATATATTTTGGATGTGAAGCTTAAATATATCTATATATGTTGAACAAGAGTTAGATGCCAACAGAATCTTCGAATAGTTTTAAAACAAGTGATGTGACTTGAATGAAACCCTTTTAAGTTACAATAACAGATATTGCGGATATTGTATGATTGAAACATTGAGTCTAAGCAGGCCTAGACATTAGCTGTGGTCCGTTGGTCCGAGACCACCTGATTTTGGCAAGGACCACCTAATATTAAAAGCCACTGGTCCGTCTGACCACTTGAATTTTCTGGTTGGTGCATGGCTAATTTTGGAGAATGGCGATTTTGTCAAAAACATGTTATATATTTTTTGTTTAAAATCATTTGTCAAATGTACATGTATATGGTTCATTAACCTCTGATTAGTTTAAGACAATTTGAAGTCATCAATACTTTTCATTTTTTGTCGCTAAAAGTTTGTTTATGCAAGTTAAAAGAGTTAAGAATTTGTGAAATTAATTTAGGATGAAAATTCATTCCAATTATGCAGGTAATTATGATATTGTATGGGATATCGAATAAATTTCAGATACTTGAATAATTGCAACAAACGAAAGGAAATGGAGAAAAAAATATATCTAGTAATTCTTTGCTACTAATCTTTATTTTAACCATAACAGATCCTTTTTTTTCCAGAGTTAACATTACTTTAAAAGGTTTAATACACTCAATGTCAAAAAGTATCAACCAACAAGCAACAGGGAGGTGAAAAATCTGTATTCATAATAAATCTGTGAAAAAAATAAGCTAAACTATTGCTATATATAACGTTGGTATTATTTTTTATCCTTCAAATATTTCCTTTTTTCAAAGACAAGAATAAGATAATTTATTAATTTTATTGAAAATCTATAAAAGATAATTATCATGAATATAAGACATACCATGCAAATAATATAAAATAATATAATAATAATAATTGACCACCTGGCTTCTGGAAGGACCACCTAAATTTCAAATCTTGTGGTCCGGCCTACCACCTGCTAAAAAGGTTAGTGTCGAGGCCTGCTAAGTCATTCATTTGACATGTTCTTAAACATTTCACTGTGACAACTATTGTGAAATCTTAACACTCTATCCTGACGCACGCGGGTCAAGTTAGGAAACCACCCTTTTATTCTTAATATGGAGAAAAGTTTTGTTCCTTTGACTGTCTAGTGTATTTATTTTGAGGACATTTACAGAATAATGAACAAAAAATTCAAAACTAAGAAATGAAAATTTTGCCTGTGTCTCCCTTTAAGGCTTACTGTTATGACCTGGAGTTGACTAAGTCATGCCCAATACCAAAAAGTAATTTTTTTCCACAATTTATTGCTTAAACATATATTTATTTAAGCACCAGGCCCCGTGTTCACTGAGAAAAGATTTTATTTTCATTGTTTTATGTTACAAAAATTAATCGTATTTTGCTAGAATTAAATGGTACATATTCAAAATGTAAACAATTGCTAATTTGCAAAGGAACAAACCTACTTTGGGACAAAATCAACAAATAACAAAACAAATACAAAAATATGGATCAAAATAAGGATCAATTTTAGGATCAGAATCAATATTTGAATCCACTGTAAAATGCCTGTATCTTGCAAAAATAATAAGTTTATTTTAAAACTTCATAAACTTGCTATTGCAAGTCCAGTTTTATCCAATTAATATTAGATATTTAATCTATGAGGATAAACAATGAACAATATTTCAGTTTTTAAATTTGATTCAGATCTTGATCCTGATCCTTAAATCTTTGTGAACAGGAAACTTTGACTTATTTAAACCTTTTTAGTGTTGGCTTCCTGTAACTAATATGTATAATATTATGTTAGTGTTCATCCATGCTGTTCTACAGAAATTAGAAATTTCGACGGGAGCGATAGCAACAGGAGAATGTTTCTAATTTCTGTAGAACAGCTACGGATGAATACTAACATACTTAGTGTCAAGCTTAATTTGGGCTCATTATTATTCACTTACGCGGTTCTATCAAGTACTATGAAAAATAGAAGGCGACTATGAATGAAATTCGATATAGTATCGACTTTTGTTCTTCTATAAAAATTAACGCACACAATTTTTAAGAAATACAGCGTTTTCATTGGATGACAAATAAAGCTGGACACTAATAATGATAAGGGGTTGAACCAACGATATGATTGCGATGCAGGCACCTTATCCACTAGACCACCACTACCCATTATTCAGGCTGAAGGTCCAAATCAGTTTCATATTTTTCTGTCATTGCTGGTTTTTGTTCACAATAACAAAGAGATAGGCAGAGAGATTTTCAATGATAATCCATAATTAAAAATATATGTGTAAAGACTGTAAAATTGTTAAATTCTTGTTCAACTCTAATGTACTTTAACTCAGATTTAATCAAATTCCCTTTGAAGACATATTTTCTCAATCTACCATTGTTAATCAAGTATCTCATACACACAACTTGGTTTGGACTGAATGCTCTAATAGCACATGTTTCTCTCTCTGCAGATGTTCTTAGATAAATCTTGTCATAACATAAAAAATAAAAAGAATATTGTAGAAAATAAAGAATTGTTTAAAATGACAACTCTGAAGATACCAGTTTTAGAAAAATCAAACTGAAGAAAAACCTGTCAAGAGTTTTAAGATCTGTTTCTGAAAATAATTCCATCCATTGTTACGTTTTGTGTGAAAATTTAATTTGAATATTTTCAAAAAAATTTCACTTGAAAAAGAAACTCCAAAAAAAAAACAACATGCATCTTGACCCTAACCCAGGTCCTAACATTCATGGCATTACATTTTCATCATATTTTCTTACGGGTGACTGCTGTTGCAATGTTTAGTTTAACCTAATTATTTTCATGGCTAAGTTGTGGTCTTCAGTTGAAAGTGATTTTAACATTTAAAAAAAAAAAATCAATGGAATAATGGAGTGAAGTAAGTTCTAGCTACATTTTCAAAGGTAATGTATTTTTGAAGAAATGTTTCATTCTTGGTTTTTTCTTTCTTTATGAAGAGTCATTGTGAGAAAAAGATATAAGGATTTACTCGACCAGGGCATTGTTCCAAGTGAACTACCACCGGACTGGTGTGAAATAAGTAACGATCTCTTGAAAAAGTTAGTCTGCTGTAAAAGGGGGAAAACAGTGACCGATGCTTACAAACCAAACAAATCACAAAGTGCTATTAAGAAAAAGGAAGGTAAAGTGTTTCAATTTGTTATATTTAACTTTACTATTAAAATGATGCAATTTTGATCCATCTCACACTGGCATCAACATAGCACTTATTCTCCTTTGTGCCCCTTGTAGCTGAGGGGTTGCCTTTAATGGTTGAGGCATAAGAATTGCAGCCGCTGTTTATCCTTGTATTATCATATGAGTCAACTAAATGAGTCTGAATAACTTGATTTTATGCAGCTCTTAGCTCCAGCAGGTGAGGTGGTTTTGACCCCTGGTGTTGAATTGTTTGTTTGCTTTGAGGATAGCCGAAATCATTTTTCCTGTTTAGTGCCATGTAATATATACTGTGTTGCTGCACTGTACAAACAAAACTGCCCCTTTGCGAGTTCAGGTCATAGGTATCAACCTATAGGCAGCATAGCAAGCCTCGTTACAGCTGAATGGGAGGGTACCCTCAGGACGGATTTAAAGGATTAATGTTCTCAGTTTTAAGGTATAACCATCCTAACAGGCACTATAAGAAACTGAAAAATTGACAACATATGTCAGATATATACCTTAAAGGACACCTGTATGCAAAATTTAAACAATCTTTACCGTCCAGAAATCGAGTTTTGGCGACTTTTCTGAATTTAATCTTGGGTGTTAGAAGGGCCCTTTTACAGAAACAAGGAGCCTTTAAATAATCTACAATATCATCCTTATGAAACATGTTTTCCCATTTCAAGAAACACAATGTAACATTCATCTGACAATCCACAAAAGCAAAATGATTGTTTCTACTCAAAATTTATGTAATATGTATAAAAATGTTACCTGACACCACCCATTTTTAACACGTGTTTGACCAACTTCCTGCTTGGAGAGCCTAATTAAAAAATTCCGTAAATTTACTAAAATGAGTGCCAGTTTTCAGAGTTTCCCTGAATTTTTTTCAAAAGTATACTTGTAAATACTTGTAAAATGTTAAATACTTTTACCCGCACGGTCTAGTTTTGATTTTATTTCACTTTGGAAATAATAGGTACCATATTTGTCATTAAATTTAGCATTATTGAGCCAATAAATAGCTATATTAATTAAATAATCAAAATAAAACACTTTTCTTCACAAAAGGGATATGAGAGATACAGGAATACTGTTAAAATAAAAAAAAGAAAAAGAAAGTTGGTCCATCTGGTGCTCGAACCCACGGCCCTAAGTTTCAATGAATTTAACAGTGGTTCTAGCCTATTTGAATACTCTTTAATGCGGACGTAATGCATTAGGATGGTCATACCTTAAAGCATTGTCAAAAGGTAATTTTAGCAATAATTGCAGTTTACAGATTAAAAAATATCCTGATTCACTAGCATTTTTATGATGCAATTTTGCTATTTACTTTTCTTCTTTATTTTTTTTCCAGATGAATTAATTCAGTTACTCAATTCACATGCAGCTTTATTAGATGACAACCCTTCCAAGAGCAGACAATTTTATACTCAAGGTGACCCTCTTGCTACCAGTAGCAGACATTCTTTATTTCAAACTCGTAATGATAATGCTCAACATGTAAACAGACGTTCAAGCAGAGATCAGGGTACAGGTGCTTATAATGTAGGAAGCTCCATTAGAAGAGTTACACACAAACAGCCTTCTGTAGAAGACATAGGATTAACTTCTGGAAATTCAGTTCGTTCAATAGTCGACCATATAAATAACACATTTAATAACCATGCACTACGTGATAGAAGATATTCATCACATAAGAAGGTGAGAAAACAACGTTCAGAACATAGCCAGTATGCTAATCAAGAGGAAGAAGACCCTATTAAATCTTTGTCACACTTCAGTAAGAGCTTAAGCCAGCAGAAGAATTCATTACTAGATAATGAAAATAAGAGAGTTGAGGATGACTCCAATGATTTTGACAGTTTTGTTGCAGGGTCATCTTCTAAATATCGAAATATTAAACCTTTGTCACACTTCAGTAAGAGCTTAAGCCAGCAGAAGAATTCATTACAAGATGATGAAAATAAGAGAGTTGAGGATGACTCCAATGATTTTGACAGTTTTTTTGCAGGGTCATCTTCTAAATATCGAAATAATTCTGCAAGATATAGGCTTAATTCAGACAAGTTACGTAAGAAAAGGGCAAAATGCATAAAACATGGTCGGCAAGAGCCTGAGATAAAGAATTGTAGAGAACAAAAATATAAAGTCCATAGGAGAATTGGTGATAATATTGATAGCCAGGAAAAACTGAAGAAATCTATGTCAAATAGAAGGACTGGAAGAAACAATGAGGCATTCTTCAAATCCTTGCAAGACTCTAAATCAACACTTTTATCCAAAGAACTAGAAGACAGCGTAATTGATATTACTAATACGACAAATAGATATAATTCAGACTCAAACTCTGAAGAAGGGTCTGATTCAAGCCAGAAAATGCTGGTAATGATAAATGAGGAAAGTGTTATATCTGACTATTCAAAAAGTCAGCATCCGTATTCATCAAGAAATGGCAATGAAAATGCAAATTGTGGAAGACTCAGCAACAGTAGCACAGACTACTCAAGATTGTATCTTGACAGCCTTACTAATTATCAACAAGAAATTAGGAAACCAACACATAACAGTTCTACCTACGAAAAGGGGCTTGAAGAAAAACTTATCAATGACAATGACAACACAGATGGTGAATTTAAAGAGCTAACTTTTTCAGAGGACCCAATGTTCTATGGTCATTTGATTGATCCAAGCATGAAACATGACAACCTTGAGACAACTCATTGGTACTGGGATCACAAACCAGGAATGTATGATGCTGACAAAGATAGGAGAAGTCGACACAAATTAAAAACAGCAAATAAAAAATTAAACACTCGTATCAGTGGTTTAGAGAGCAATTTGGATTTTGGAGAAACACCTTCAAGCCCTTTTGGCAAAATTCAATCAGACTTTGATAAGAAGAGAGAAAGCTGCTCAACAGAGACAGCAGATATAGATAAAACTAAAGAGGTCCTTTCTAAGAAGGCAGAGAAATTGATAGGCCAACAGCCAGAAACTTTCAGAAGATGGATGAATATTGACAAGAATGGTCTAGATACAAAAAAAACATACCAGCAAACTTCAGACATTAATAAATCAGTTGATATCGACAGGTCTATAGACATACTTTATCTAAGAAGCTTTAATAAGGATGGTGAGAAACGCTATTTTGTGAGTAATGAAATAGGATATGAGTACCAAACACATCCTGATAACTATGAAGAACACTCTATGACAACAACAATGTTAAGCGACATGCCAACCGAATGTTCTTCACTGCTACATTCAAGCAGTCAAAATGGAGACAGGATAACTAGTTACATGGACAATTCACCAAGTGCAGGTGTTGGCATGCCATCTACTCCTGTTGGCACTCCAAGCACACCTATTGCTCCAGAGAATATAACTGTGATAAGTGAGAGCTTAAAGGATGGGGATACTCTAGTCAATGTTGAAAATAATTCTAGTGAGACTGATGTAGAATTATGACTTACTTCTTCAAAGTTGATGTGATTTGTTATATTATTTCAATGCTTTCAATGCTATTTCATTGTAGTTCATTAAATTCAAACTACGGTATCCAATAGAGAGTAAATCTTCATTGTTAGTATGAGGATTTTATTTTGATGACCTAGTTTTGACTTTATTAGCAAGAAATATCATGTCATTGACATATTCATTGGCTCAGGGATGATTTAGTCGTAAATATAAACAAACTTTATGACACTAACTGCTCTGCAAATATGCACCATGCTTGTTTGAGACAAAAAAGAATTCCTTGGATTGAAGTTTGATAAAATAATATTTGCTGGTTATTGTATACTTGTTTTGTTGAAGACAATGATTATTTATTGATATCAATTTTAGCAAAGTTGTTATGTGTGATTATAGTATCTTTATTAAATCAATAAAACTTAATTGTTTTCTATTTATTGAAAGAATAATAGTTTCTATGCTTCAAAACGTTTGAGATTATTGATAGAAATTGGATTTTATATCACAAGACTAAGGCCAAAAAGTAGTTCTTATGCAAGTTACTCAAGGTGGTGAATCTATATAACTTCTGGACTAAGAGCATAGCAAAAAGAAAAAAATAATAATTAAGATCCAGATCAGTAATTCTAGTAGTACTTTTTCCTTGGCTATTAACTTTGTGTGAATCCTTGGCTATTAACTTTGTGTGAAGCCTCTTATATTTCATTAACATTCACCAACTGATTCAGTCAGTGAAAATCAATTGGAACTTTACTCAACATTAGTAGCAACCAAGCAAAGTTCTTTGTATGGAGAGGTTTATGCACTTTATTTGAAGAAAATCCATTCAGAATTAAGATATTTACATAAAATTACCTGCATCAAACTTTAAGCCCCTTGCATTGTTTCAGTGAAATACCAGCGTGCAGAGTTCTGCGTACCAACTTAATGAACTTTTTGTATTATTATTTGGCGCGCTTTTCATTCAGTATGAGGTTTATGGTCTTTTTAAAACGTTTCTTTGCATATTATAAAAAGAAAATTTGTTAAGTTTAGTGTAAGATCTATTATTTTCTGAAATATACCTTTTGGTGCTCACTTGGGGAAATATATTCTGATCTTACACTGAACAAAACAAATATCCTCTATATATCAGTGATTTAAAACTGATAATTTCACTGTTTAAAACAGTGAAATTATCAATTTGATAATTTCACTGTTTTGAATTTAAGCCCATTTATGTTGTTTTAGTGAAATACCAGCGTGCACAGTACTGGAAACCAACTTACTGATGTGACGTCATAATTGACATCACATTGTTTAATTATTTGGCGCGCTTTTCATTTAGTATTAGGTTAAATGTCTTTTTAAAATGTTTCTTTACATATAGTAAAAAGAAAATTTGTTTAGTGTAAGATCGAAAAATATTTCACCTAGTGAACACCAAAAGTTCATTTTCACTTGTGGCTGCGCCACTTCTGGAATATACCTTTTGGTGCTCACTCGGTGAAATATATAGAGGATATTTGTTTAATTCAGTGTAGGATCGGAATATATTTCACTGAGTGAGCACCTAAAGGTATATTTCACGAGTGGCGCAGCCACTCGTGACATATGAACTTTTGGCGTTCACAAGGTGAAGTATATTTCGTTCTTACAATAAACTGAACAAATTTTCTTTTTCTTTTTTGCAAAGAAACGTTTTAAAAAGACATTAAACCTAATAATGAATGAAAAGCGGGCCAAATAATAATACAACATGGCGACATTTAGGACATCATGTCATAAAGCTGGTTCCCAGTACTGTGCACGCTGGTATTTCACTGAAACAGCATAAAACAGTGAAATTATCAGTTTTATATCACTGATATATTTCTATAAACCACCGAAAAGCATGTAATAAATTTCGATCATTCACTGAACTAAACAAATATCCTCTATATAATTGGCTTTGTTATTGATGGATGCATTGGATTCATACTTATATATACTACCCTTTGGACAATATCTTTAACAATATCAAATTGACCTTGACCTTTATTTAATGGTCAAAGGTCAAGGTCACAGTGGCCTTGACTAAAAAAAGCTTATCCGCCCAATTACTTAAGATTCCTTTGACCAACAGTGTTCATATTTGGCAAGAAGATTAGTCATGATGAGTAGATGACTCCTATTGATTTTGAAGTCACTGGGTCAGAGGTCAAGGTCACAGGGGCCTTCACTGAAAAAAGATTGTTCCCCAAATAACTTATGATTCCTTTGACCCACAGTCTTCATATATAGCATGGAGGTTTGTCACCATAAGTAGATGAACCCTATTGATTTTGAGGTGACTGGGTCAAAGGTCAAGGTCACAGGGGTCTTGATTAGAAAAAACCTTTTACGCCCAATAACTTTAAGATTCCTTTGACTTGACCCACAGTCTTCATATTTTGCATGTAGGTTAGTCATGATGAGTAAATTACCCCTTTTGATTTTGAGGTCACTTGGTCAAAGGTCACAGGGATCTTGACTCAAAAAAGCCTGTACACCCAATAACTTAAGATTCCTTTGACCTACAGTCTTCATATTTGGCATGGAGGTTAGTCATAATGAGTAGATGATCCCTATTGATTTTGAGGTCCTTGGGTCAAAGGTCAAATCTCACAGGGGTCTTCATTAAAAGAAGCTTTTCCGCGAAATAAATTAAGATTCCTTTGACCCACAGTCTTCATATTTGACTTGGAGGTTAGTCATGATAATGGATGACCCCTATTGAGTTTGAGGTCAAAGGTCAAGATCAGAGGGGCATTGACTATGTAAAGCTTGTCCGTTCAATAACTTAAGATACCTTTCACTCACAGTCTTCATATTTGGCATGGAGGTTAGTCATGATGAGTAGATGACCCCTATTGATTTTGAGGTCCTTGGGTCAAAGGTCAAAAAGCTTGTCTGCTCAATTGCATTACAATGCCTTGGTCAGCAGTCTTCATATTTGGTATTGTGGTTTGTTATGACTAGTAGATGACCCCTATTGATTTTTAGGTGACAATGTCAAAAGTCAAGGTCAAAAGGGTTTGTACTGCATTAAGTTTGTCTGCTCAAATGCTTAAGAATGCCTGTATAAAGTGTTATTGGTTTTCACATTTGAAGCATATAATTATGTTCTCATATATTCATCATAAAACACCCCCAGTCAAAGCTGCATGAATGGGGGAATTAAAGTCATGCAGTTGCAGTTTCAGTTTTGAGGCCAAAGGTAAGGTCACTTTGATCTTTGCCACAAAAACATGAAGAATACATAATTATGCAATGCACTGGCTTACTACCGTCAGATTTGGCAGGGAGGTTGTCATTGAGCTTTAATTGACCACTGTTGATTCTGACAAAGTGGTATGAGGGTGTATTCATGCCATGACAGTGGCAGTTCTAGTTTGAACTTGACCTTTAAGGTCAAACTATCACATTTTGCTATAATTGGCAACTTCTTAATAATGGATAGATAAGTTCCATACTTTGAAAAAAGAAAACACAACAAAACAAAAAAACACAAGAAAACTTAAACAGCACTTGTGACAACACTGAAATACTAAATAATTTTAGTATGACCTTGACTTAAAATGACATTGTTAAATTATTGAATGTTGCTTAAACTGACATAACTTTGTCATTTATTTACAAATTGGATTCATACATGGACAAAAGAACACATGTGACATAACCAAGATGTTTTATGTTTCAATAAGTTACTTTCACCCTTAAAAGATCTTGACCGTCAATGTTAAGTTATTGAACTTTACTGAAATTGGTCATAACTTTGTTAACCAATAAATTTGTTTTATATTACGACAAACATATAGATACCCATGTGTAACTTGACCGAGTTATTTGAAAGATCATTATGCCCCCATTTCAAAGAAGAGGGGGTATATTGCTTTGCATTTGTCTGTCTGGCAGTCGGTCAGTAGACCAAATGGTTTCCAAGTGATAACTAAAGAATGCTTAGGCCTATGAACTTCAAACTTGGTATGATGATAGATCATGACCAGAAGATGACCTGTATTGATTTTGGGGTTTAAAGGTCAAGGTCATATTGTCCTTGTAGGTAAAAACAGTTTCTTATCAATAGCTAAGAATGCTTAGGTCTAGGAACTTCAAACTTGATATGATGATTATTCATGACCAGCAGATGAATCCTATTTATATTGGGGTCAAATTGACCTTGTAAGTTAAACGATTTCCGATCAATAACTAAAGAACGCCTAGGCCTAGGAACTTTAAACTTGATATGATGATTGTTCATGACCAGGAGATGAACCGTATTGATTTTGGGATCAAAGGTCATGGTCACATTGACCTTGTAGTTTAAACAGTTTCCGATCAATAACTAAAGAATGCTTAGGCCTAAGAACTTCAACTTGGTATGATGATTGCTCAAGACCAGCAGATAACCTCTATTTATTTTGGGGTCAAAGGTCAAGGTCACATTGACCTTGTAGGTAAAAATGGTTACCGATCAATAACTAAAGAATGTTGAGGCCTAAGAACTTTAAACTTGATATGATGGTTGTTAATGACCAGCAGATGAACCCTATTAATTTTGAGGTCAAGGGGTCAAAGGTCAAGGCCACATTGACCTTGTAGGGAAAAACGGTTACCGATAAATAACTAAAGAATGTTGAGGCCTAAGAACTTTAAACTTGATATGATGGTTGTTCATGACCAGCAGATGAACCCTATTAATTTTGAGGTCAAGGGGTCAAAGGTCAACGTCACATTTACCTTGTAGGTTGAAAGGTTTCCGATTAGTAACTAAAAAATGCTTAGGCCTAGGAATTTCAAACTTGTTATGATGATTGCTCATGATGAGTAGATGACCTCTATTAATTTTGGGGTCAAATGTCAAGGTCACATTGACCTTGTAGGTAACAAAACACCACTAGGTGGATCAATATATGCCGGAAAGTGTTGTTTTTTTTAGTTTTTTTTTAGTAAGGATGAAGCATTTGTAAGACATGGGAATTAAATAAAGTATTACCTCCTTCAAAAAGCAATTCTCATTTATAGCTGAAGAACCTTCACATATATATACACATATATATATATACAGTTGCTGTTTCCAAAGCACCTCCATCAAGTTGTTATCTTGTAAGTAAAAATGCTACCACGGATGGATGGTAAGACACCAGGAGTATAACATAATATAAGAAATTTTTAGGGCATATAATTAATGTACTCAATATAAGTGATCATCCTATGAAGTTTGACAGTTGTAAAAATGTTAACAATATCAAGGTCATTTGATTTTGACCTTGTGACCCCAAAATCAATAGGGGTCTTCTACCTAACATTGACAATCATCCTATAAAGTTTGAACACTGTGGGCCAAATGGAACTTAAGTTATGCACCACAAACCACAATTTTCAGTGTAAAAATCATTGTGACCCTGACCTTTGACCTTATGACCCTAAATTAAAAAGGGGTCATGTATTGGACTTGGCTGTTCATAGCTGCTGGCCCTCAAACTTTGTAGGTGCATTGGTCTTGGACAGTAAATGACCCCTATTGATTTTGGGGTCAGGGGGTCAGTGTCATATTGACTTTGTACTCAAAGACAGTTTCTGACCAATAACTCAACAACTCAAGTTGCTTAAATTGATATTTTTATATTAAACTAAAAATGTTTTCGTATACATATTTGAAGGTCTTGTGTAATATAACAACTTGGCTGTCATTTATGAGGCCTACATGATTCATAAAATTTATGCATATATTATTGGTAAGATTTGTAATTACTTTGTCATAAAATTGCTGCACACAACCTATCCGGTCACAATAATTATTACCTTGTGACTGTTCATGACCAGTAGATAACCCTTATTTATTTTTGTTCACTAGGTCAAGTCCGTCATAATAACCTGATCACATGACTAATTGGCTGCCGATAGGGGGCATCCATTAAGGAGGCCTTCATGATTCATAAAGTTTATGCATATATCATTTGGTAAAATTTGTAATAACTTTGTCATAATTTTGTTATAAAATTGCTGCACACAACCTTTACGGTTACAATGACCTAGTCAGTAGATAACACTTTCACTAGATCAGAAGTCCGTTACAATAACCTGGCCACATGACTAAATGGTTGTCGATCGGGGGCATACATGTTTTACTTGTTATTCAGTGTAAGAAATGCAATGTGTTATTTTATATGCGTGAATGGGGGGGGGGGGGGTGCAATATCAAACAGCTAAATGCAATAACGCTCCTGTCAAATGACATCGATCTAGTGCACGTGGAAAGCATGGCGCAAGCAATGGTTTCTTTATACGAAATACAGATAGCGAACACGGAATTACCGATTAAAATAACTTCACTTTCATGCAAAAATAACGCGTATGCACATTTTTTCGTGCATTAACATCCGCACAAGTCCTCGGTCTAAACAAAATCCTAGGCCCGACAGGCTCGGGCTTCTGCAGATTTTAATGCATTTACCCTCTTACACGCTGTGTTGAATTGTCAATGGCGACATGTCCGTTAATCCTACTGTTAAAAACTTTTGTATAATTTATAAGTGGCGTTTTCCTGCTGTATTTCAATTTTATAGCATATCTGCAATGCAGTAAATTAAATATTTAATTCATCACATAATTATGCAGCGCAGCATCGTAGAAAAACGGGTGAAAAACGATATGACACTTGAGCGAATATATTTTGACGTTACGTAAAATTTAATTATGCGTTACAAAAACATTGCGTAAAATTACACATAAACGTTAGTAAATCTATTACAGAATCTTATAAGCGCGTCTGTGTAAAAGTTTTTTACTATAAACTGTTATTAATGTATGTTTGTGATAAATACTATAGAATATTATATTCGTGTACAAAGTAACATGTAGCTTATATACATGTATTAGCTTCATTGAACTCGGGAAAGTCATAATTTTATTCAAATTGTTCAATTATATTAATATAAATGTGGTACATACCACCCAAGAAACAATATTTCTTTTATTTACAGCTCGCAAAAAACGCTTCAGTTGGGACCTATGCAATTTTGATAGCGGGTGCGATTTTCTGCATGCGTGCATTTTTTGATTCGCTAGAAACGAGCGCAAAATTGCACTTATTTTGTCTTTTTAATAAACTAATAAACTAACATTTTAGATAAGAGTTGTTTAATTTTCTTATAGATTCTATTTCGTTATTTTTTTCTAATCTTTTATACGCTTTGAACTTAACGAAAAATCTAATGAAATACATGACATACCCTGATATTTTTAAGTAGATTCTATTTTAGATATTTAAAGGGTGTTGGGGGAAAAAGTGAAGCAGTCGCGGGTCGATGCAAACTGAAATAGCTCTAGATCTAGTATATGTATTTGACTTTGCCCCGTCATACTAGTAATCAATCGTTTTTAAGTTAAAATGCCTAATTTAAATTTGTGTCAAAATTATGTCATTCTTGTTGAACATTTTTAGAAATGAAATGTGCATCCATAGAATCTACGTAGATCTACTGTAGGCCTGCGCGCTACTTCAAATAAATATTTTTTTCATATAGATCTAACGGATGAAAATGGTCCTACTGGTATAGAAAATACTATTTAAAGATGTTAAATTGATAGAAATATAAACGATTATTAACTGATCTTCAGATAATAGTATATTAGCTAATAATGATAATGATAAAGTCTGCTTTACCCGTTTCCGTCAGACTTCGGTAAAACAGACGAAGGGTACCGATTGAAATACGTCATAAATATGACGTCACATAAACTGTATAAGTGATAATGGCGGAAGAAAACAAAAGTGACAGGCGATATGCTGTTCTTATTTTAATTTTGTATTTGAAGACTGTCGGCATTTTTGCAGATTCTGGAACATTCTATATTTCAAGTGTAAAATCAGGTAAGACATTTACAAAATGTAAATCTATGTTTTTTTTCTATTTTGATGAGTAAATCTACAAAATTGTTCGACATATTTTCGGAAAATCAACAACAGTTTACGGACATGTCTTTTTTTCGGACATTTGTTAAATTGATCTAAACTAACTATCGATTAGCAGTTCTTCTGTATTGAATTTGCAGTTATTTTTCACCTAACATGTATTTGAGGCCTGTTAAAGTACTCTTCCCAACTGATAATTTCTTGAAAATCATGGATTTATGTAGTCCAAATATTTAGACGTAACCGCGGATTTGAAGCTATTTTTTACATGGGTTAAATTCGCATTTTCCGATAAACGTCATATTGTAAAAAAAAAGAAAGAAAATGTGATGCCTTCCAATGAAGGACTAGGATTTATGTAGTTAAAAATATGAACTTACATTTAGGCTACCAGCTTATTTATTTCCCAAATAGGCAAATTTAGCGATATTTTTTACCAAAGGTCTACCAAAATCAAGAGGATATAAGACCTTTTCCAAATTATTTTTTATTGAGTGAGAAAAATTCATTTTTACATTTTGAACTTTGCCCTGAACATAAGTGAAACTACAAGAGGTATCAACAAGAAACTTTTTAGGTAATAGATCTCATTGAGTAGAAGTGCAATGTACAAGAACTGTAACTTTGCCTTGCATAATTTTTGAATTACTGCCCTTTTTCATTATAACTCTGAAACTACAAGTACAAGAGGTATCAACAAGAAACAAAGTAGGTAAGTAAAAATGCAGTGCACAAGAACATTAACTCTGCCTTGCCTAATTTTGGAGTAATTCAATGCTTTAAAATTTTATTTTTACACTTTGAACTTTGTCACAGATATATAACTCTGAAACCACAAGAGGTATCAATAAGTAACTTTGTAGGTAGATAAATCTCATTAAGAAGATGTGTCATGCATAAGAGCCATAACTCTGCCTTGTCTTATTTTGTAGGTATTGCCCTTTTTCATATATACACTTTGAACTTTGTCTGGGACATTACTAACATCAACAAGAAACTACTTCTCTGTGCATCACTGGGTTTAACCGGCTCTTGTTTTTTTATGTTATTTCTAAATAGATTGTATCATATTTACGCACAACAACCCGTTAGCTAGAAAACAAAATATAACCAGACAGAACTTTACCTTGACTCATAAATTACCTAATAACTTTGTTGTTCATACTTGCACACAATAATTCTTAAGTAGACAAATTGACTGTGGCTTATCACATCAATGACTTTGGCATTGAAGGTCAAATTTTTGTATTGTTAGTTTTTTAGCTCGGTTTGAAGTCCCCTTCATCACCAAGAAAATTTTGGACTTGTGAGAGGCTAAAAATGACCCCAGGTCAATCATAAGGTAATGTGTAACCAAAACTGAAAAGCCTTTGACTCTATCTCAATCCATTGAGAAGTTGCAGCACTTTGAAATCAATTTTGATGGAAAAAATCAATACAAAATAGAGATTTTTGGCAATTTTGAGATGTCCCCTTGTTGCCATGGTAACAGGAAATTTAAGACTGAGCATATTGTTACAAAGGCAATGGTCAAGTCAACATTTGTGCGAAGTTTGATTAGTATTGAAGCATTTTTCATAGTTTCATAGCAGTTTGAACTTGTAACAGGAGGCTTTTCAATGAAAACGGCCATTTTTCACAATGAAAGGGTTAAGTTTTTACTTGTAAGCTGGTATCTCCATAAATACTGAAGGGAATGGATTGAATCTTTACAAACTTATTCTCTGTGATTGTCTTACATGATCGGCACAAGTCTCATAACTGATTTGCTTTTTTGCATAATTATGCCCCTTTTTCAACTTAGAAATCCTTGGTTAAGTTTTTGCTTGTAAGGTGGTATCTCCATAACTACTGAAAAGTTTGTGCCTTTTTGTGACAAGTTTATGCATTGATAATAATCATTTACTTAATAAAACATCTTATTAACAAGCCTTTGTACCTTTTCGGACAATTTTATGTATTAATATAGGTAAGCATTATTATTTTCAATGAAACACCCTTTTGTAAGTTGTTATGCCCCATATTTGCATGCAAAATCTTTTTCAGGGAATTTCCAAGTATTTGTATTTACAAATATCATACTAAAATATTGTTTATTGAATTCCTTGAAAGTACTATATTGTTACATAACTTTACTTTTTTTTCTTCCAAACTTTTCATATTAGAAACACATACTTAGGATTAAAATATTGGTATTATAACAGATTACCATTTAAATAAAGCTTTTAATTACTCTAGATCGATGTCATAACCTTTTTATACTAAATAAAACTACATATCCTGGAACTCTATTGTAAACTTTTTCATTGTTTGTTTACTAATCAGCTGTTAATCAGAATCCAAGCTAAAACAAACAGAACAGAACAGAACAGACATTTTATTAGACTTATACATAAGTATATCATCTTAATACATAAACATCAATGTTAAACATGTCACATATTTAGAACATATTACAAAAGTTCAATCATTGAATGCACTTTAACATATATTTACATATACTACATACATGTATAACAAAGACAGTAAGGTAATAAGTATACTACAGCGCATCAGGTCATATTATTTATAAATGAATTTCGAATAACAAATGCCTCTTTCATATATTTGCACAAATTAACAATATCGTTTTTATTTGAAGAAGTAAGCAAATCATGAAATTTAAAAACAGATGGATTGACAAAATAAAAACGTTTGATATATTTCTTTCTTATTTGAGAATAGCAATTAAATATACAAATAAAGTGGAATTCATCTTCAATATCTCTTGTGTTACAACATAAGCAATATCTTTCGTTTCTTGGTAAATTATTACGTGTATATCTCCCTGTTTGTATTCTCAATGGATGTAAAGAAGTTCTAAGTTTAACCAAATAAGTGCGTAATTTCCTTGGTAATAAATCTAAGTATATTTCATATTCAAGTGTAGTTTTAAATATTCTATACATATTCAAGACAGAGTTTGTGTTAATATTTCCATACCATTCTTGCTTAAAAGTATCTATCAATCTACATTTAAATTCATAAATAAATGCGTTAACATTTACAGAACTAGGGTTCTCAAATACATGTGAGAATCCGTAATTATCTAACATCCTCTTAACATGAGAAACCCAATTTGTATAACCGTTATTACAGTCGTTAGCGCTCATTTTATAAACAGATCTTATAATTATTTTTCACTCGAGCTAATTTTAAAAAAGTATTTTAGTACCCTAACATAACGGTTTATATACAACGGATATCTTCAATCATTTTCTTACGGTACGCACAACCTTTTTTCTTTTTGATTAATTTTTTATATAACAATTTAGACTTGCATAAATTAGATCTATTTACATCAGACTTGTTTAAATTAAAACAATTTAACGCATCCATATATAAATCACGTGCAGACACACACTCATTATCAAACCAGTCGGCATTTTTTAAACAATTATCTACAACAAAAGCTGATTTATTATTAAAAGTATATGCACGAGAAAATAACGGATCAGCTACACTGCGTAAAGTATCAGTAAAATTATCTACCAAATTATTCACTGACGTTCTACTTGAACAATCAATGTTATGTATAATACTGTTGAAAACAGGTAAATTGGCAATAATACCCGAACGAAATTGATCACGAAGCGTATTGTCCCACTTATATTTAACCTCCGTATATTTTGTCGTGCATTGATGACAAGTTATCACAACATAGTGAAAATTTTAACGGAGCATGGTCACTCCACTCATTGAAATCACATACTGTAAAATTTGTGATTGATGAAAAATATAGGTCACTACTTAAAACGTAATCAATAATGGAACACCCGTTATGGGAATAAAATGTATGTTTACAGCTATCACCTATTCTACCATTTATAATACGTAGACCAGTAGATTTACATAAATCAAGCAATTTGATACCATGACTATTGTGTACATGATCTATTGAGGCCCTAACAGATGTTTGATCAGGACAATAATCTGAGTCATCATACAAAGTATTAATATTATCGTGTACAATGAAATCACATTTATTTCCAACCCTGCTATTTAGGTCTCCTGAAATATAAACTTTCCCTAGCAAAGAAAAGTATGATATGTCATTTTCAAGTATTTCAAAAAGATCAATATTAAGAGTATTATAAACAGGCGAATCCACACCCCATATATATGATGCACATAGAAATACATCTTGGTCAATATTAAAAAAGACATGATCCTACTTTAACCAAATTATAGAGTCATGGTGATTTCTAACAATTTGAATACCGTTTTCTAAATGGTTCTTAATATAAATAATTATTCCGCCGCTGGCCCGACGTGCATTTCTATGCTGAAATTTTCAGTAAAAATTATAAGAATTATAACCAGTAAGAGTAATATTGCTAGATGCTTTTGTCCAAGTTTTCATACAAAAAAACAAATATCATGAGTGCTTAAGATATTTACAAAATCAACATTACTTTTTTTACAATCAGTAAGGCCATGAACATTCCACGACAGGATAGAAACCTCACCGCCTTCGTGACCCTATTCGCGCACCTGTTCGCCGTTGATGTAGAGGGTGTCATAAGCTAAGTATGCCCTCTTACCTTGTCGCCTCGCCTCTTTCATCTTCGGGACAAGTTTACGCCTTTTTTGAATAACATCCTGTGGAAATTGTTCAAAGACACGAAATAATGTTCCTTCGAGCTCTTTCCATCGTTTACGTACCATTTCCCTGTCCTTAAAGTAAGTGAATTTGGCCACAACATTTCTAACTTTACCAGCCACCGGAGCACCAGGAGAGCGGTGCACTCGCTCGAATCGGATCGAATCGGTCAATTCTTGCGGAATATTAAATGCATCTCGGAGATGTTGGCGTAGTAATCTCTCTGTAACTTCCGGTGATTCGTTACCGCTAGCGTTGTTCTCCGGGATACCGACGAAAATCAAGGTATTCCTCATGGTCTGTGACTGTAGGTACG